TGTGTATGTAAACAATGCGATGGTAGTTGAAAAAACAGAGCGAGAAATGCGAATAACACGTTAATAATCTAACAACGGGGGTTTATCGTGTTTGCACAGAGCAATTGTTAAAGGTACACACCGTAATGTTGATAATGTTTGATCGGTTCATAAATTTTTGACGCATTTCACAAGGTTGCAAAATATTTTCGAGCTCAGTTTTACGTCTCGAATTTTCACGAGACATTTTACAATTTCGATATTGTATATCTTTATCGATTATTGTGAAGTATGTTGTAAAATAGAGACACACGAAGAAATCAGAGAATTTATGATCCACATAAAAGTCAGACACGTGAACAAACAAGGAATAACGTAATAAAGGGGCAGACAACTCGTAAGAACTTGGCGGGAAAACTAAGAAGTTCAAACGCACGTAACTTGGCGGGAAAGTTGAGGTTAACCATGAGAATTTGGCGGGAAAAGTTTGAGGTTTAAATTTTTGTAAGAATTTGGAGGGAAAAGTAGTTTCAACAACTCGTAGTAAACTGACGGAACAAGTCAGATGTTTAAACAATTCATAAGAATTGGCTGAGAAAACTATTGAAACGTTTTAATGACTCGTAGGAATTTGGTGGGAAAACTAGGAGGTTTGAACAATCTATAATAGTTTGGCGGGAAAACTAAATAGTTTCAAGACTTCATAAGAATCTGATAACAAATCTAAAAGATTTAAGAATGTATGGAGAAAACTATTAAAACATTTCAACATCACATAAGAATTTAGCGGGAAAACCAGGAGATTTAAACCTAACCTAACCTATAAGAATCTGGCGGGAAACCTACGAAATTCAAACACCTCATAAGAATTGTCGAGGAAAACAGGTATTTAAACACTCCATAAGAATCTGTAAAACAACCCACTGCAAAGTTTAAACAACCCATAAAAATTTACCTTGAAAACCAACTAGTTTCTACAAAAGAAGTTTGAACAATTCACAAGAATTTGGCGGGAAAACCAAGAAGTTCAAACAACCCATAAGAATTTGAATTGAAAAATAACAAAAAATGTCTTGTGTACAACTTTTTTTATAAAGAAATAATAAATATAAGTAAAAAAAGATAAAATAATGCTGCTCATATGTAAGTTGAAAGGTATAAAGTTAATTTTAACCTTTTGCCTGCATCGTGAACGAACATTTCACGAATCGAGACGTAATCAGCGAGAGGTCGAGGAGCTATCATTATTTTGGAGCATGGTGATCAGCTTTATCCGCGGTTTCACCTCGAGCAATGTTTTAATTTGATCGTTCTATTAATAGCTGCCTCTGTGCTCTATTTAAATCTTTCGTATCGCGATCGACACAGCGAAAGTTCGTTTCCGTTCGAGATATCAGAATGTATGTCTTCGTGAAATGTACAGTGTTGCCGAAAACGGCAATATAGTGAATGCGTATTCGGCGATATAGGAAGAGGACCATCACTAGGTTATGGTACTTCTTAGTCGCAAATTTGGAAATATGGGAAATTTGGGAAAATTTAAGATTTCGGAAATTTGAAAAAATTTGTGGACTAAAAAATTTTTAAATATGAAAATTTGAGAATTCCAAAATTTTTAAATATGAAAACTTGAGAATTCCAAAATTTTTAAATATGAAAATTTAAAAATTCAAAAATTTTTAAATATGAAAATTTGAAAATATGAAAATTTGAGAATTCCAAAATTTTTAAATATCAAAATTTGAGAATTCCAAAATTTTAAAATACGAAAATTTGAGAATTCCAAAATTTTAAAATATGAAAATTTAAGAATTCCAAAATTTTAAAATATGAAAACTTGAGAATTCCAAAATTTTAAAATACGAAAATTTGAGAATTCCAAAATTTTAAAATATGGAAGTTTGAGAATTCCAAAATTAGTGAAAGAGAAATTTGAAAGTTGCAAGTCTTTTTATTACAATTTTGAAACCCAATGAATAATAAATGTGTTCGGCAGACTCTCGTTATATCGCCATTACGAATTCTTGATTTTATCGCGTGTTGCGGAGTTAAAACTTGTTCCGAGGTTTTATGTTACGGGCAGACTCCTCGAAAGCAACGGATCATTGAGAGACATTTCTCGGTGAACGGCGTTCAGAAGAGTATATTTCATTTGCATGCAGTAACAAACACGACACGAGCCTGCGCGACACGAGAGGATTATTCATGATAAAATCTATTTATAGTAGATCGTGTCGTCAATGACGGACGTTACGTCGGATTAAGTAGAACGTGCCAGTTTTGTCAAGTAGAATTTTGCGGTGAACCACCGACTCCGCGAACTAGGACTTTGTCAGAATTTCAGTAAAAATTTTTTATCTCCGTTTTCTAATACCTTCGCACGATTCTGACTCATCCAGATCTCTATTCCGCAAAATTTCTAATTCTTGCAATTTTAAGTAATTCCTTGATTAATGGCTCGGTTTTATAATTGTACGAGTTAGAAACACCTTACATATTTATAAAAAAAAGAAATCGTGTTGAAAAGGCGTTGTAAAAATATCAAAGTTCATTTCTTCAATGAACAACAACCGATTTCCAGTGATCCTTTTAGCAACGGTTGAAAGGTTTCTGCCGGTGATCGTCTGGCTTTGCAGTCGCTCAAAGAAATATGGGTCACGGTGGGATCCGTGTAATTGAGATGTAAATAATGTTAATGAGAGGTTGTGAAGCTTTAATTACAGCGAGATGAAGTAATCTCTGGTAATTAACAGCGATTCCGGTTACATGGAAACGTTTTGACGAAGGAATCTTCAATCATCAAACTTTTATCGTATTTCTCAGCTTTTAGTGATAGCAATTGTTTTTTATTGAGGATCAATCGTTATTGAACTTTTTTTATATTTGTGTCGAGTTTAGCCACGTGTCATATTATCTGGTGTTTGATTGCTATGCGTTTAATTGCGGTACGTGTTATATTGCCACGCGTAGAATTATCACGCTTTATATTGCCATCTGTTATATCGCCATTTGCGGAATTAACACGTGTTGTGCAATGCATTGAATTTACCATGCTTTGTATTACCATTTATTTTATCACAACGCGTTATATTGCCACTTGTAATATTGCCTTTTGTAGTACCACGCGTTATATTGCCACTCGCTTTAATAGTATTTACTGTTTCACAATGCGTTATGTTGCACGTTGTAGTACTATCTATAGCATTACTCACGTTATATCGCCACGCGTTTTAATATTATTCTTTACAATACTCGCGTTATATCGCCGTTGCAATACTACTTTTTATATCACTACGCGTTATATTGCACGTTGTAGTACAATCTATAGCATTACTCGCGTTATATCGCCACACGTTCTAATATTATTTTTTACAATACTCGCGTTATATCGCCGTTGCAATACTACTTGTTATATCAGTACGCGTTATATTGCACGTTGTAGTACTACCTGTTGCATTACTCGCGTTATATCGCCACGCGTTCTAATATTATTTTTTACAATACTCGCGTTATATCGCCGTTGCAATATTACTTATTATATCACTCGCGTTATATTGCCACGAATTGTAATACTATCCATTGCATCACTCGCGTTATATCACCATTCTAATACTACCTGTTGTATTACTCGCATTATATCGCCGCAAGTTATAATACTATCACTCGCGTTATATCACCATGCATTGAAATTCTACCTACTGCATTGCTCGCGTTATATTGCCACACATTGTAACACTATCTGTTGCATTACTCGCGTTATATTGCCACCTATTGTATTACTCGCATTATATTGCCGGAAGTTGTAAAACTATCTATTCATCACTCGCGTTATATCGCCATGCATTTAAATACTACCTCTTGCATTACTCGCGTTATATCGCCGCATATTATAACACTACCTACTATATCGCCACTTGAATAATTACTTACCCATTGATTTCCACCACACAGAATTACTACTCACTACATAGCCTCTTATTATATCACCACGCATTATATAACCACACGTGAAACCACCATATGTTATATTACCACTTCCTATATCGCCTCAAGTAAAATATAGCGGTTCATTCTAATCAATTTATAGATTACGCACGTTTAAAATAATACAAGAATGTATGACATCTGAAAGTCAAACTTATATAATTTTTTTTTTAAACAAAGATTGAATTTTATTCTATATATAAATCTGTCGTGATATGTTGTCCGAGAAGTGGATACTTTACGAGATATTTCGATTTAGCAACACCAGTGTTGCGCATATAACGTCGATTATTGCCACGAGTTTGCGTACATGGGTAAACGTAAACTATAAAAAAAACAGCCGACGATAAGAACATTTCTTTGTGGTTGTGATAATAAAAACTAAACGATTATCATTCGGGAATTTTTGCGGTATGCTAAGTGGCAGTGTTTGCGAATTTGGAAATTTTCGGTGTTACAGCATTTCTGTTTCTATTTTTACATTTTCCAATTTCGGAATTTAACAAATTTGGGATTGTACATATTTATAATTTTTTAAGGGTTTAGAAATGTTGAGAATTCGGAGATGTCGTGAATTTTTGAAAACTCGAAGATTTTGAAAATTTAACAATTTGAGATAGTCAAAATTTCAATAGAAAATCTCAAAAATTGAAAATTTCAGAATTCAGACATTTTTTATTATAAAAATGATAATCTAAAAATATAAACAACCTTAGAATTACGAATAAAAAAATTTACAAAAGAAAGTAAAAATTGAAAGAGCACTAAATAAAAAAAATGAGAGGCTTTCAAGAAATAGCACGAGTTAAGATAAAAATAAGAAGAGTTTCACAGAAGCTCTTACAGAAAGGTTGTCCGTTTCACCTTTCCAGTTAAGAGCGAGTTCCACAAAAGCGTTTTAAAATATCGGAGCAAAAATCGATTTCGTAGCGTTCGTTGCTCGCTTTCTCGATTCAAGCATCCGCGATAGATCCTCCCTCCATCGCTCGCTCCCCTCTTGCGAGCGATTCTTCCGCGAGGATTGGCGGCGCGTTCGGTTTAGTCGCGTGCCGAGACGCCGTGAAACAAGAACGTTTCTGTCGAGTTGTCGTACAATCTCGTCAACCTCCAAAACGATTCCAACACTCAAAGTGCTACAAACCTCAGTGCTTCATAAAAATTTTCAAAAATTGTGCCTTTCTGTGATATAAAAAATCCTTGATGAAGTGTCGAGCGATAAGCGTATATTTATGAGTGGATTATTAAACGAATGTTTAAAGTTTGATATTTAAAGGTGTCTGTGATATGGGTGTTTATCGAATCAGATCTTGTGACATGTTCACATTTTGTAATCGAGCGGCTCTCTAGAGCGGAACTGTTTTATATGCAAGACTTCTTAATGGAGAGCTTCTCCCCTACAGGGACTCTAAATCGTGCTTAAGATCGAAACCTGCTTCGGCCTTTCAAATAAAAACACGAGATTGAAATTTCTTAATCGATCAGAAGAGCCTCTCAAATCGAACTTGAACTTTCAGAAACCTGCTTGGGAATTTACGGCTTCTTTGATCGGAAATTTCAGATCAACAGGAAGATACTTGGAGCTGCATTCTTGAAATGGGATACGTGGACTGTTAATTAATTTAAGTTCAAGAAGTCTACGAGTCGGAAGGAGAAATTCAGGAATCTACATCTGAGTAGAGCTTCATTTTGTACTGAAAAAATATTGATCAGGAAGTCTGTTCTGCATGTTACCTGCTAAATGAACTGGAACTGAGTGAAGTGGAACATCCAAGTTTTCGAAGAAGTTCTAGATACGATCAGAGTCTTGAAATTCACGGACCACTTCTCTGAACAGCCATAACGATATCACTTGTCTGAGCAACATAGTCTTTGTAACATATCAGTATTTGTAGACAACTACTTATTGTTCAAGTTTGGTTCAGAAGTTTATATTGCTACGTCCATATATCTGAGCAAGTACTAGTGTTTGAATCATATCCACATATTTGGGCAAGTTTATATTGGTTAGAGTACATAGACATATCTGAGCAAGTTTATATTGCTTAGAGTATATCCACATATCTGAGCAAGTATATAGTGTTCAAGTTGCATCCACATCTGTGGACAAGTATATATTGCTTAGACTACATCCACATGTCTGAGCAAGTTTATATTGCTTAGACCACATCCACATATCTGAGCAAGTACATAGTGTTCAAGTCATATTCACATCTGTGGACAAGTATATATTGCTTAGACTACATCCACATGTCTGAGCAAGTTTATATTGCTTAGACCACATCCACATATCTGAGCAAGTACCTAGTGTTCAAGTTGTATCCACATCTCTGGACAAGTACATACTGTTCATACCACGTCCACATCTCTGGACAAGTGCATACTGTTCAGACTATATAAACAAGTACATATTATTTAGACCACATCCACATCTCTGAACAGCTACATACTATTCAAACTATATCCACATCTCTGATTAGCTACATACTGTTCAAGCTGCATCCACATCTTTGGAGAGCTAACTACTGTTCAGCCTACCTCCACATCTCTGAACAGCTACATACTGTTCATACTGAATCCACATCTTTGGATAGCTACCTACTGTCCAGCCTACCTCCACAACTCTGAACAAGCTACATACTGTTCAAACTGCATACACATCTTTGGACAGCCTCATACTGACCACCCTACCTCCACATCTCTGAACAAGTACATTCAGACCACATCCACATCTTTGATTTACATGCTGTCCAGGTCAAATCACATTTCTGAGGACCTGCAACAAAGTGTATCAAATACCTAACTTCTGAAGTTGTTCAGCAGCACTGAATCAGCAAAAATCCAATAGGAAATCCATTTGAATCATCAAATGCACATCTGTGGACAATCTGAACACCCCTGGATTGTTGTCCAAAATAGTCTACAGTATTGAACCATATCAAATTGTTGCTCTAAACTGTTGTTCTTGACTATTATTGCTCTTAAATCGTATTCCCAGAAATAAGACGTCCAGTGTCATCAAGAATGAGAGAGGAACAATGGTCGCGTGATCGTCGCTCGCGGCACGTAAGCTGCGGTATCCGCGTGTCGGCTCGTATTCGAGGCGGGAAAAGGTGATTAACGATTCGTGGCACGTGGGAATTCGTGTACGACCGATGTTTGTCGGTCCGTGTGTTTCGACGAACGCGTGGTTTCGCATGGAAACGAGTCCTGTCGAGAAAAAATTGACTGAAAAACCGAAACGTAAACGAAACTGTGCGCGCGTATGCACGCTCCTTGACACGGTGGTAATATTAGTTAGTTGGTGACCTTCCAAATAGCGAGTATTTGTAAACTGCCACTGAACTGGCTACAGGAGGTTGACTCGAGCGAGGTGAACGTTACCCGGTGAACATTTTGTTTGAGTTTCTGGATTTACGTTCGCTGTCATGGCACCTGCCGTCACTCTGGACTGGTCAGAGCCACGCCAGCATTGGCGTTACCCGAAACTCTGCCCGGCCGGGCAGCAGAAACACGAGAGGGCCAAGAGCGCCATGGAACTCAGCAGTAAAGAGGCGAACACCGCGTACAAAAAGTTTTGCAAGTTCGTCAGACGACTGAGGAGCAAGAAACGTAAGTCTGGAGGATGAAAGATGATCTTTTGGGGGAGACCGGAGCTCAGACTCGTTTAAAGGAGAAACGTTTAACATCTTTTACTACTTTCATGCTAGTTGCGAATATTTACATTTGAATGGGAATAAAAATTGTCCTTCTATGCATACAAATGTAGTACTTGACCAACGAGTTCGTTTCTGTTGGCTGAAATCCTGTTTGGTTACGTTTGACTATTTGAGAGTGACACACCAGGTGCGTCATGTACTGTTCCTTTGATAATTTGTGAATTATGATTCTAATTGTCTGAAAGATTCTTGGGGATAACTTTTGAAAACATGTTTTATTCATAAAGAAATAATGATTTTGTTCGAGAAGATCTGACACTTATTATGGTCATAAGTGATGACACACCTGGTGCGTCCTATACTCTTCTTGCATTTATAATAATTTTTACAGTCAAAAGTTGTTAATTTTTGTATTAAAATCTTTCTGAGATAGTCCTTGAAAACATACTTCAGTTAGAAGAAGAAAAATTTGATTTGAATTCATGTGGCAGTGAATTATTAGGTTTGAAGTCAATGACACAGCAGGTGCGTCTTCTACTATTCTCTCAATAATTCATGAGTTATGCTTCTAATTCTCAGAAATCTTGTTGGAAACAACTTTTAAAAACATGTTTTATTCACCAAAAAACAATGATCTCGTTTAGACAGATCTGACACTGTTATTACCTTCAAAAGTGATGACACACCTGGTGCGTCCTACACTGTTCTTATATTTACACTAATTTCTCCAGTCAAAAGCTATTAATTTTTGTATTAAAATCTTTCTAAGATAGTCTTTGAAAACATACTTCAGTTAGAAAAAGAAAAATTTGACTTGAATTCATCTGACAGTGAATTATTAGGTTTGAAGTCAATGACACAGCAGGTGCGTCTTCTACTATTCTCTCAATAATTCATGAGTTATGTTTCTAATTCTCTGAAATCTTGTTGGAGACAACCTTTGAAAACATGTTTTATTCACCAAAAAACAATGATCTCGTCCAGACAGATCTGACACTGTTATTACCTTCAAAAGTGATGACACACCATGTGCGTCCTATACTCTTCTTACATTTACACCAATTTCCCCACTCAAAACCTACTAATTTTTGTGTTAAAATCTCTCTGAGCGAATCCTCAAAAACATACTGCAGTCAGAAAAAGAAAAATCCAGCTTGAATTCATCTGGCACTAAATTATTACATTCGAAGTCGATGACGCACCAGGTGCGTCCTCCGTTAATTTCTCCATTTATGAAACCACTGTTTCCGTAATTAAATTTTGCACCTCCTACGGTGTACAAATAATTAATTTAACACCTAAACAAGCGATAAGAAGAACATTTATGTGTGTTTTCACGGTATTCGACAGAATAGTTCCCTAATGAAAGTTTCATGTACAACTTATCGGAACATCAAGAACAATTCTCGTTCTCCTTGAATTCTTCATTCATCACACTGTGACACTCAGAATGTTTTCGAACGCGTTTCCGCGATGCTTCTTAATAACTTTTAATTTCGGAATATTTTAAAGTCTAATGAACTCGGATACTATCGCCGAATTATTCAGCAGCGACGCTTATTTTCTGTCATTCTTGTTATCCAACATCTGAGCGTTCTCGGCCGACAAAAACAAACTATTTATATTGTGAAGTTAAAAAAGTTTTAAAAAAGTTAAAAAAATTTCAAGGCGACGAAATTTTAGGAACGCCAATTATGTAAATGTGAGGGTTGAAAAATTAACTTTCGAGAACTGCTGTGAGGATTAAAATTTCTGAAGGAAGAGTGACGACGTTGATAATTAAATGTTTACAAAATATTTTCTCTGCCATGTCGCAAATGTTATCAATGCAAAAACAGGAAAGAAAGAATTTTTCAAGAGGAATTAATACACCGACCCAGTGACATTTATCCGTTGTTATTCATATTTATTTTTGTTATGTACATCTACCCACGCGAATTTATTTAAGAATGAACTGCGTCAACTTGACACCATACAGAAAGGAAAAAAGAGGAATCGTGAAAAGAAAGCTAAAAACAGTCAAGGAGTTTAAATTTGCCCGCCTCTCAGGTGTACTCGATTAATCTTTATCCACTTGGCACGTGTGCAGTGGTTCTCAGTCATCTGACACGGATTTTTATCTTTATATATCGAATGACATAGTTTCGTTATCTTTAATGAATCTTGGAACTGTTTTTTTAGTGATTATTTACTTCCTGGTGATATGTTCCTTTTACTGGTATTGTTGCTTCAATGATAGATTAGTAGTTTTATTGGTTTTTTTATTGATTATTATATCGTGACGATTTTTGTAATAATTCCAAAGTTCAATGATTAAATAATTCCTTCAGTAAATTAAATAATTTCGAGACTCACAAATGTAGAGCTACCTAACTTAAGAATTTCAAATTTTCGCGCGCAAAGTCATCCTATGCTAGAATGTACTAATTCAATAATTACAAAATTTAGTAATTCGATAATCTCAAAATTCGGTAATTAAATAATCCCTTCAGTAAATTAAATAATTTCAAGACTTACAAACGTAGACCTACAAAACTTAAGAATTTCAAATTTTCGCGCGCAAATTCATTCTATGCTAGAATGTACTAATTCAATAATTACAAAATTTAGTAATTCAATAATCTCAAAGTTCAGTAATTAAATAATCCCTTCAGTAAATTAAATAATTTCAAGACTTACAAACATAACCTAGCTAACTTAAGAATTTCAAAATTTCGCGCGCAAAGTCATCCTGTGCTAGAATGTGCTAATTCAATAATCTCAAAATTCAGTAGTTAAATAATTCCTTCAGTAAATTAAATAATTACAAAACTTGCAAACGTAGACCTACGAAACTTAAGAATTTCAAATTTTCGCGCGCAAAGTCATCCTATGCTAGACGTAAAAGAAACAAACAGATTCCAAATCGGAATGTTGCGATCCAATAATCTCAAAATTCACTAATTAAATAATCCCAAAATTCAGTAGTTAAACAATCCCTTCACTAAATTAAATAATTTCCAACCTCACAATCTACAAACTTCCAAACCTCCTAACCTTAATTTCAAATTTTCGCGCGCAAAGTGCACCCTATAATGCCGTAAAAGAAACAAACAGATTCCAAATCGGAATGTTGCGATATAAAAACTGTTATGAATGTTCGATCTAGATCGGTGTTGCAATGTTTATTCATATCCGGTGTTCCGAAGGCAGAACTTTCCGCGAAGATTACGCCATTGAAGTTCTTTACCAACTGTTCAAATATGCATGCCCGTTCGAAAGAGCGTTCTTCGCGGTGCATACTCGACCCGTATATCCATCGTAGCTCGAGAACACCGGTTATTGCGAAAGTATTCGCGTAATGTCATTTAAATATTATACGGCTGCTAAGACGAAGAATGGAATTGGATGTCGCGAGGACGAAGATCAAGAATTGATGAAACGCCGTTCTTTCGGACGAATCGGGGTTAATCCGAGAACCACTTCGACGCACGTCAATGACATTATTTTCGATTTCTCGCGATCGTGGTTCTCAAAGGTTTACTTCAAAACTTTCGACAATTCTTCATTTTTGGATAACATTCATTTTTTAACTGTTACTAGTAACAGTAATTACAGTTTCTATTTGAGAAGATTTATTCGAAGAAAAATTACATAATATGTCACATAAATATGTTTCATCGTTAGTTATTTAATTTTAAACTCATGACGCACCAGGTGCGTCACAAATGTGTTAGTGAATTACTTGATTTTAAACTCATGACGCGCTGGGTGCGTCATAAAAGTGTTTGATAGCGAGTTACTCGATTTTAAACGCATGACGCACCAGGTGCGTCACAAATGTGTTAGTGAATTACTTGATTTTAAACTCATGACGCGCCGGGTGCGTCATAAAAATGTTTGATAGCGAGTTACTCGATTTTAAACTCATGACGCACCAGGTACGACATAAAAGTGATTGATAGTGAGTTATTTGATTTTTAACTCGCGACGCACCAGGTGCGTCATAAATGTGTTAGTAAGTTATTTGATTTTGAACTCATGACGCACCTGGTACGTCATAAAAGTGATTGATAGTGAGTTATTTGATTCTGAACTCGTGACGCACCAGGTACGTCATAAATGTGTTAGTAAGTTATTTGATTTTTAACTCCTGACGCACCAGCTGCGTCATAAATGTGTTAGATAGTGAGTTATTTAATTTTGAACTCATGACGCACTGGGTGCGTCTTACAATCTCTGAACAATGTAAAATGTCTCGTGCTAAAGTATTTGTCCAGTTTACGGTTACGTAACCAGTTACATACGATGCGTTATAATTAACATCGAATCGATAATCGGTGACGTACGTGTACGTCCATGCAATAAACACCATGGCGCTATTATGGAGCGGGTATTATGGAAGCCAGTTGGCCGCAAAATGTCAGCCGGTGAACACGTTGTGTCGCGCTGTTAGAGGAAAAAAAAAAGGGTCGAAGATCCTCTGATGCGCGCGTAACGCGGCAAAAGGTAGCGGGTTAACGTGCATCCGGATCCTCGGTTCACCGATGCGGTTTTTCTTGCACGCTGAATTTAGCCGGCGCGGATCCAAGCAAACCCGACGCTCTTGCCAGAGATCGCCGTCGTTTGACCCACTTATTCACGACGCTCTCGTGCCTAAGGACCTCCTATCAGACGAACAGTCAACAGCAAATCTGCCTTCTGTACGGAAAATATTACTAACCCCGAAAGAATAGGCCGTCCACTTCATATTTCGATAGTCGACATTTCGGTATTTGGGTTACTGTTATGAGTTTGGGGGTATAGGAATTTGGGGATTGGTGGATCTAGGGATGGGTGGATATAGGGATTGGTGGATCTAGGGATTGGGGGATCTAGGGATTGGGGGAT